CCTAAACTCCAGGTATTTCCCAACCCAGAGCTGGAAAGGGTATTTCCAGAAGACAGAGATCAGATCCCCTGGAGAAAATGGCTGCTCTGGAGGGTGGACTCTGTGGCTTTATACCCCTCTGAAGTCCCTCCCCTCCCCAAACTCCGCCCCCCTCAGGCCACATCCCCCCTAGTCTCTGGGTATTTCCTAACCCAGAGGCTGACAAGGCTATCCCCAGACAACAGAGATCAGTTCCCCTGGAGAAAATGGCTGCTTTGGAGGGGGGACTCTGTGGCGTCGTATCCTGATTCATGAATGGTGTGAGCATAGGACCTTGAGATCTGCGAGGGTTGCCAGCTCCCTGGTGGGAGTGGGGGAAACTCCGCTTTTGCAGGCTCTTGCCCGCCACTGGCCAGCTGGCCGGCAGGGGGAAATCCCGCCCCCAACTGGCCTTTTTGGGCCTACTTCCGGTTTCAGGCCTACTTCCGGTTGGGATGATGCTCTGTCTTTTTGGGCAAAACTCCATGGTCTGAAGCCGAATTGGCCATAGAGTTTTGCCCAAGAACCAGAGTGTTACCCCTGACCAGAAGTAGGCCCGAAACCGGAAGCAGGCCTGAAAAGGCCCAGCATCACTTCCGGAAGGATGTCGGGAGACCCCCGCTGGCCAGGTAAGTCGACCTGGCAACTCTAAGATCTCCCACTGTGGCAGTTGATCTCCCGGTGGCCGAGATCAGTTCCCCAGGAGAAAATGGCTGCTTTGGAAGGTGTGGACTCTGTGGCGTTGCAGCCCATCGAAGACCCACCCCTCCCCAAACCCCGCCCTCTTCAGGTTCCACCCCCTAATCACCTCCTGGCACCAGCAGCCCAAGCAAGATGTCAGGGGGGAGAGATGGCGGCCAGGAGGCTTTGGGCCTTGACTCCGAGGCACTCGCTGCTGGAGACCCGCACCGCTCGCCCCTTCAGCTTCGCCTTCAACACGAGCGACTATCGGATCCTGCTGATGGACCAGGACCAAGAGCGGCTCTACCTGGGTGCCCGAGACTACCTGGTGGCCCTGGACCTCCACAATATCAACAAGGAGCCCCTCATCGTAAGCGGCAAGGATGCGGGGGAGGAATCCCGCTGGACGGGCCCTTTGGTTTCAGCTGTGGCTAGCCGCCTGGGGTCGGGGAGGGGCAAGCTGCACAGGGTGGCCAACCTCCAGGTGGGACCTGGAGATCTCCCGGAATGACAACCGATCTCCAAAGCCTTTGGGAGAAGGGCAGCAGGTCACGTGGCCAACCTCCAGGTGGTGGCTAGGGACCTCCCGCTATCACAGCTGATCTCCAGGCAAGAGAGATCAGATTCCCCTGGAGAAAATGGCTGCTTTGGAGGGTGGACCCTATGGTCCCTCCCCTCCCCAAACCCCATCCCCCCTTAATCTCCAGGTATTTCCCAACCCAGTCTCCAGACGACAGAGATCAGTACCCCCAGAGGAAATGGCTGTGTTGGAGGTTGGGATGCCAGCCTCCAGGTGGGGCCTGGGGGTCCCCTGGAACTCCAGCTCATCTCCAGGCTGCAGAGACCAGTTCCCCCGGAGAAGATGGCTGCTTTGGAGGATGGACTCTGTGGTCTTGTGCCCCATTGAAGTCCCTCCCCTCCCCAAACTTCACCCCCTTCAAGCCCCACCCACCCCTGATCTCCAGGTATTTCCCAACCCAGAGCTGGCAAGGCTATCTCCAGACGACAGAGATCAGTCCCCACCGCAAGAACTGGCTGTGTTGGAGGTTGGGATGCCAGCCTCCAGGTGGGGCCTAGGGGTCCCCTGGAATTACAGCTCATCTCCAGGCTACAGAGATCGGTTCCCCTCGAGAAAATGGCTGCTTTGGAGGGGGGGGACTCTGAGTCACTGTACCCCACTGAGGTCCCTGTCCTCCCCAGGCTCCACCCCCAAATCTCCAGGAGTTTCCCAACCTGGAGCTGGCAACCCTACCCCCCCCCCCATCCACATTTTACGATTGGGCACCA